CTAACCCTAATGATTATGAAATAGGGGCCAGGGTGTTGTCCCTGTGATGGGCTACTGGAATTCCAGAGAGGGGATTGGGGTGAAAGATGAGCCTAGAGCTGTGCTTTGTAGGTGTGGGTGGCCGGGGCTGATAGGGATCTAAGGGAGCACACGAGACTAGGTTGAGGCAGAGAAGAGAAGAGATGAGCTGGAGATTTCAGGCTGGAGTGGCAGGGGCCGGGAGGGGGCAAGGCTGAACCACAGCACGAGTCAGACAGAGTCCTGCCTGCCCTGCCAGCCCTCCTGGTTGGCAGGATGTCTGATCTCATCCGGAGTTTCCCTAGAAGGTCCCAGGCTCTCACCATAGCCATTCTTCCCACTCCATCTCAAAGTGGTCTTGGGTTGCTGCCAGCCTTGGCCACCCATAAGCACCCATGAAGGCTCTTGCTTGGGCTGAGTGCTCAGATGGGCAGACATTGGGCCTAATCAGGATGGTGGGTGAGAGTGGTGAAGGGCAGGGAGCTGCAAGGATTGTGCATCAGGGTTCTGAGGAAAAGGCGTGCGAGGCTCAGCACGGCTTCCTGGCCCATCCATGATTGCCTGCTCAGTCCATTCAACCATGCAGTAAATGGCTGTGCCTAGTTACCCAGGAAATCAGAAAAACAGAGTTGACTCATCTGAGGTAGCACCTCGCACTCATATATCTTCAAAAAGTCACATATAAGTTTCGGTATGGTCACTAGGAAGCCATACTCTGTGGACCTAGGGGACTCACACACTTGCATTTACCTAAAAACAAAATGTGGTGGTGTATGTCTAGGACAGGTGAGACTTAAATTCTCTCTTTAACTCTCAGATTAGTTTATTTTCTTTCCTGTCAGTTAGTCTCACTATTATTAACACTTCTACACCAAAAGTAGAGAGGCCAAAAGAGACAACACGGACCCACAGTTGGAACACTATGCCACATCACTTTTCAATGAACTAATAGCTACTTATATTTGTGCTTTCTAGAGTATGGTTTGGGATCTGATGCATCAGAATCTGGAGGTGTGATAACATGGTTATAACAGCGTGGATTCCTCAAGCCCACCGCAGCTCTGTGCTCCACTCTTGGTGCTGAGTCTCACAAAGCCCCATTTTGACCAGAGCCCCAGGGATTCCTATGTACACTGAAGTTTAAAGGCCATAGTCAGAGGCCCATGTTCTAGGAGTAGAAAAACTTAATGTATCACAAAGGCTTTAGGGCTCATCACTGTTGACTTTGAATGTTATAAACAAGGGAACATCTAAGTTAAGATTTTGATGGCACTAAATAGGGTCAACTAGCTTAGAATTAACACCAGAAAAATTATTCCAAAATGACCTTGTCTGATAAGATTGAATGAAATAGACTAAAACGAAGTGACTTTGCAGAAAGACAGGCCTGTTTAGGCATTGCAAGAAAGCTCATGTTGAGTCAGAGCATAGATACCAGTGATGTTACCTTTCATCCTAAGCCTTTCCTAATCCCAGCCAAAATCCAGGACAGAAGAAAAAGCTGCATGAGGGGAAGGAGTGTGATATGTCACGTCTCCCTCCACTCCTCTCTTCATCCTAGTCACAAGGACATTTCTCCAGACAAGTCTCTGTGCTCTGTTTAGTATCATTAGCCTTAGAAGAAAGGGAACGTTATGAGCCAGAAAGAAAGAAAAAGAAAGACAGGAAGCTTGTCTTGAACAGGCAAGGAAAGATCTCAGGAGGTGATAACAAAAGAGGAAATCCAAAGAAGAAGATGTTGGGTAAAATTCAATAAAACATAGAAATGAAGAGGAAATTAAGGAAGTAGCCATAAAACAGAAAGTAGAAAGATGTATGGTGTGAGTCATAGAACCAAAGACCCACAGTTAATCCTCCAATCTGGAAAAAACAACAGAACTGCAAAAAATATGTAGTAGAAATAAAAGAGGGAAATGGATGAATCCCTAAAATTAAGAAGCAAAGGAAAAAACATGGTAAGAGAATAAGGTATTCTTATTCAAAATAGTGCCGGAAGTTCTCATCAGAATAATGAGGAAATATAAGGAAATAAACTCATACAAATCAGAAAGGAAGAAATTATTCACAGATATCATGATTGTCTACATAGAAAACACCAAAGAACATACAAACAACAAAACAAGCAACCCCCAAAACTTTTTAGAACTAATAAGTTCATAAGGTTGCAAGACACAAGATAAATATAAAAAATACAATTGTATATTTATATGTTATCAATAAACATATGGACACTAAAATTTTAAATATAATACTATTTAAGACTGCCAAAATAGTATTTTGGTATGTCTAATAAAACCTGTTTTTATATACTGAAAACTTGGCAATGCTAGAAAAAGACATCAAGAAAGATCAAATAGAGATACATATCATGTTCATGAATAGAAGAGTCAACTTGGTAAATACGTCATTCTCCCCAGGTTGATATATAGCTTTAATTCAATTTCTACCAAATTGTAGTAAGATTTTTTTGTGGGTTTAAACATGACTATTCTGAAATATATATGGAAAACAAAAGAACTAGTATAGTTAAAGCAATTTGGAAAGAGAAAAATAAGGTGGGAAGAGATAGTCTATCTTCTTTCAAGACTTACTGTATAACTGTTGGAATTCAAACTATGTGATACTGATAGAGAGACAGACAGAGGAATCAATGGAACAGAACAGAGAGACCAGAAATAGAGAACTTACAAATGATCTCACTGATTATTTTGATAAAAGTGCAATAACAGTTTAATGGATGAAAGGCTCAACCAAAGGTGCTGAAGCGGTTGGACATCTATTGGAAAAAAAGAAGAGCCTTAACCGGACTCTTATTTAACACAAAATTTAATCAAAATAGGCCATGGACTTAAATGTAAAATATGAAACTTGTAGAAAAAAATCAGTATGTAGGGTTAGGTCAAGAATAGATTTAACATCAAAACCCCAATCTATAATTGAAAAAATTATTAAATTAGTCTTCATAAATATTTTATTTATTTATTTATTTTTGGTACCTGGGATCGAACTCTGGTCCTTGTGTTTGCGAGGCAGGTGGCGGAACCACTGAGCTAGATCCCTGGCCCAATATTTTAAATTTTTTGTTCCGTGAAAGACTAGTTAAAAAGATGAAAACACAAGTTACACTGTTGGAGAAAATATTAATAAAGTACGTATTTTTAAAAATGCTAACATTAAAGACCTCAAGTCTCAACAATGAAAAAATAACCCAATTAGAAAATAGGCTAATAATAGAAGGGAACTTACATATGGCAAAATAAGCACATGGAAAAGAATGTTTAAAATCATAAGGCACTGGGAGCATGAAAATTAAAACCACAATAAGATATCATCACATACTTATCAGAATGACTGAAATTTAAAAAAAAATAGTGACACCACCAAATGCTGCCAAGGATATGGAAAAGCTGGATCACTCAGACATTGCTCATGAGAATGTAAAATAGTGCAACCTCTCTAGAAAAGAGTTTGGCAGTTTCAGGAAGTATTAAACACAAAACCACCATACAACATGGTGATTACACTAAGACTATATTAAGACTAACATTTAACTCAAAAACCTATACAGATATCTTTCCACAGCTCTATTCCTAACAGTCCATAACTGGAAACAACCCAGATATCCTTCAGGGGGTGAACAGTTATATACACCATGGTACATACACACCATGGAACTATACTCAACAAGAGGGAGCCTGCTAACACACCCAGCACCTTGAATGAATCTCTGGATAACTATGATGGATGAAAAGAATCCATCTCTAAAGGTTACATACTACATAATTCCATTTATATGACATTCTTGAAATGACAAGATTACAGAAATGCAGAACAGATTAATTAGTGGTTTCCTAGGCAAAGGAGTGGAATGGGACTGGAACCAGTGGTAACAACAGAGGGATCCTACAGGTGATGGAAGCGTTCTAAGTCTTAACTGTAACAATGTCAAAGCCACTTTGTGATACTGTATCCCAGTGTACAAGATCTTATTAGTGGGATAAACTTGATTAGATAAGTGTACAAGAGATTTCTCTGTGTAATTTCTTCAAATTGTGTTTTAACTAATGCTATTGGATATTTAATTTTTTTAAATAGTAGCATTTGGACAGGTTGTAGCTCAATGGTAAAGCATTTGCTTGTCATGTATGAGGTCCTGGATTTGATCCTCGGCACTGAAAAAAAAAGTAGTATTAGTATTTCATGATCCCTGTGGTGACCTCACCCTATTCCTACTTCAAGCCTGCTTTCAGCCAGGTAGCAGGAATTAGATCTCAGTCAATGGCGAGTCTCCCTACTCACTCATGCCTAAATTTCAGGAAGCTTAGCATGACGCCAGTTTTGTGCTTGGTGTCATCTTCTATGCTGCTGTCTGCCCAGAGTAGCTTTCAGCCATCTGTCCATCTAGGACACTGCAATATCTTCCTCATGTTTGGGCTAATGGCCCTCTACCCCCAGTACTCTCTAGTTCTTCCTCTCAGTGGGCTGCAGGAAACCTCCAGAGGCCATCAGACTCAATCACCAGATATGCCTCCTGGGTATTCCTACTCCTCAAGCTCAGGGAGAAGGGGGCTGTGCATAGAATGGGATCATAGGCCTCCTTTATCCTTGCATCCCCACCTCAAGTTTACATGGCATCTGGGAGAGGGCTCAGGGTGACAAGGGATCCAGTATCCATGGGTGTTAGAGTACTCTACTTCCCTTCCAATTCTCCCCTCTCCCACCCTGAAGGCAGCTAAAGCATGTGACAGTGTTCCATTCTTCCAAATCTTATTTCTTAATTCTGTCCCTCAGATGTTCTATCTTGGCACTTTGCTGATTTATTCCTCTCCTGAGGGACAAGTATAGGATCACTCTGCTGTGGCTTGAATTGGTCACAGAGTAGCAGGAAGTTTGGAGAAAAACTCACTTGTTAGTACATGAACATATTGTCCTGTGATTTCTCTATTCTGCCATTAGCCCATTTATCCTATTTATCCATACAGCTTGTGGCCCAGGTCCTGGAACATAAAGATATAGGCTTTGTGATGGTGGATGCCAAGAAAGAAGCCAAGCTTGCCAAGAAACTGGGTAAGTGTGATGCTTGAGATCTTTCAGGAAGAAACAAGTGTGTCTTGCAAAAAAAAAAAAAAAAAAAAAAGTATAGGTTCCTTTACTCTTGCATGATAACGGGGCTATATTTTGAATATGGATAAAATAATCTCACCTATCTTGGGCTGGGAAAGAATTTCATAAAAGTAAATCTAGGCCAGAATTGAATGGTTTCACCCAATCATTTAATATGTCTTTGTGTGAGTGTCATGAAGAAGGTCTCCCAGAAAAGCTAATGCTAAAGACCCAAGCCTTAATTTCTAGTTCCTAGAGTAAACTGAAATACCATCTCCTATATCACAGCACACAGAGATCTCTCTAGGAGAGTTACACTCTCATCTTCCATCACCTATAATTTCCTTGTCTCTTGGCAGAAGCAGCCAACAAAAGATAACCCTAGAGATAGCAACTCCAGGATCTCAGGGGTTTCTCATTTACTAATAAACCCCAGCTGGACTTTATCACCAAAGATGAGAGGGAGGCTTTAGGTGAGATATGGTTAAGTAACTACACGATGGAAGTTATAATCTCTTGTGTCAATACGTCATGCTTAAGTGCAAATGCTCTTTAAGATTCTTACCCTGTAATCCCAAAGAGGGAGGATATAGGTAACTCCTGGTTTCCAAACACCCTCACTCATGTCCTGCCTATTTGGCTTTTCCTGCATGACTAGTGAAGGGTGGCTATTAAAAAAATAGCAGGAGGTTATAAAACAGGACCTTTGAAGAGAGGTTAATTGGATTTGCAATGGTAAGCACAGAAAAATAAGTTCATTGGTACTTCAATAAATACCTTCAGGTATATGAAAGCTTATTATCCTAGAAACTTACAAACAGCTATTTTCTATTTTATTTTCTAGAAGACCAGCCTTTTAAAAAATATTTAAGTTGTAGGAGGCAAGTTAGACATAGGAAGAACTCATGGCTATAAAATGATAATGACGTACTAAGAATGCCTGGGATATCACTGTCCTTGAAGACATGTTAAGGAATATTGTTTTTCTCCTTGAGTATGGGAATAAAATACATTAAACTCTTTTCCTAGAGTCAAAAACAATTTAATGAGTTCCTCCTCTCCAATAGCCAATTGATTCCTAGACCGCTCCCTTTCCATTGTTTTAATGCATATATTGTATTCTGGAGACTTTTCAGTAAACTTAGAAAAAAATGCTAGTGTTCTGGCAATATATAAATCTAGAGAGGACAAACTGCAAGAACTGATAAAAATAAATCAGCAGAAGATGCAATGGGGCTTAACATGTATAAATAAATTCTCTCCAAGATCAAGTTAGAAGGAAAGTTGCATAGTTCACTGGTAGAGCACTTGCCTAGCATCATAAAGCCCTGGGCTCAATCCCCAGTACGTAAAGAAACAAGCTGAGCTTGGAGGAACTGAGGCAGGCTCCTCAGGCTGCTTGAGCCTTGAGGTTCACAGGACGTAGTTTTATTTCTGAATCTTCCCATTCATCTTCATCCCTTCTTCCATTTGCCTTAGTAATTTGGCTTCCATCAGGCTGTGCCTGAACTACTTTAGTAGCCTCCTAACTGGTTGTGCTCAGTACAAAATCTAACAGCAGGACACTGGCTGATGTTCCTTCCCTCTGGTACCTTTCAAGATCAGCCTTCACCAGCCTCAAGAATACCTCATGTTGCTCCTTTCAGTTTACAGTGTGCCAGAGGCTCCTCAGAGGAGCATGGAGACAGACACCAGGCAGAAGTCCAGCCTTCCTGTCCCTCGAGGGTCTGCAGAAGAGATTATTTGGAGAAAGTATTCTCTCGCTAATAGAGAGTTTGAAAACAATTAATCTAAGGAATTAAAGATGCTGTGCAGTTGGAATAAGTGCCAGCTTCATCTGTTTGCCATTACTGAGGGAAAATGCAGTTTTCCAGCAAGCAGTTGTTAAAACATACAACATCACACCAACAGTTCTGAAGGGTAGTAGAAGAGAAGATGAAGCCGGCCCTTGCAGTATCTGTCAGCTAATAGGGTAAAGAGGAAGTGTGTGATTCTGCTAGAGCAGGAATACATGCTATTCGGTAGAGCCACATACATTTATGGGGCACTGATCAATGTGTGTAGGCTCTGTGCAAGGCACTGAGATACCAGCAAGACAAGGATCTTACCCCACCAGGATGCACTGTTAGACAGGCACCTACACATTGATAATGCATGCACTCATCATGACTGGACTGACCTTAGGAAAAATGAGACATAAACTGAGTCCTGAAGAAGTTAACTAAGATGAGCTGGGATGGAGGTCACTCCAGTTTTGCAGAACAAGGAGCACATGAGCCTACACACTTGTGTATCTACTTTACACACCCTTTTATATCAGCGTGTGAACAAGAAGCAAAGGGGGTTACACACGGGACCAGGGATCAGTTCTCAAAGGACTATGGGTCAGGCCAAGGAGGAATGGCACTAACAGGGTTGGTTGGCAGTAGATGGTAGAGGGACTTGAATGCCAGTCTAAGGAATCAGATGGGCAGTGGGTATTACAACTTTTTGAGAAGGAGAATAACATGGGTTCAGCAGTATTTTTGGAAAACTGAAGCAATGGTAGGGTGGAAAATAATTATTTAAAAATTAAAATTGAAATCCAGGTGAAACGGTTAGTTCTTATTTCAATTTAAATGCCTACCTGCAGAGCCCCTCAGAAGTGTTCTGACAGAACTGGTCCTTAGGTTAATTCTAGTACCACTGATCTTGACCCCAAGGTCACTCAGAGTGATTTGTCCTGGGCCCTTTTTGTTTCTTCCAGGTTTTGATGAGGAAGGAAGCCTCTATATTCTTAAGGGTGATCGCACAATTGAGTTTGATGGCGAGTTTGCAGCTGATGTCTTGGTGGAGTTTCTCTTGGATGTAAGCATTTTACACAGTAGCCCTGCATGGAGATATCTGGACTCAAATATAGGGGGAGGTAAAGCCCCAAAGTAAGAACAGAGAAGCTGGAGATTCTGAAGTGGTCTAATACAGGTTTCTCAGCCTTCAAAAAGACGAAACAGTGTCCATATTACAGTGCCATCTACCTTTTCTGAGAAGCTGACCCCTCAGTCACCCCAAAACATCGGTTCATTAGTGACCTGTGTGTCACAAATCTGAACCATGTAGTAGTTAAGTGCTAATTCTTTTACCAGTTATACCCAAAAATTCCCTTGGCTTGCTCCAGGGCTGCTAAGGAGGAGCTGGGCAGTGGAGAGACAAAGGGGGTAACCAATTACACAAAGAGAGAGGAGGAATCAATCACTCCGAGGTACCCTCAGAGCAGCATAAAGGACAGGCAGGGCTAACAAGTACCCCCACAAGTCAGTCACTTTCAGCCATGAAGATACAACACTCAGATCACATGTTCAGACAAACAGAGGAAACACTAAAACCATCTTATTCATAGATAAATCACACTTTCAATTGTATCTGTGAGGTTAAATGCTTTGGAACAAGTATTCTGCACAAAGAACTTGCTGTTGAACATCCATACTGATCATCCTGTATCTACCAGCTGGTACCCAGTGGCCTGTTGCTTTCTCTCTACAACCTCGAAGGCCAGAGAGAAGGTCAAAAGTGAGCTGAAGAGCACCTTCTATCAAAAAAAAAGTGTCCATAGTCTCTGGTTGGCTGTCTCACTGTCCTGCTGCTGCAAGACCTAAAATACTTAGAGAAGCGACATTCTAACTCTGGGCCAACATGGCACTGCCTTAACTTCATCAGCTAGGAGACTTTGGAAAATGAGGCTCTACCTACTTCAAAAGATGAACAATATGATTGACTCACATAAGCAGTAAACTAGAGATAAGATTTTGACTTGATCAAATCAGGCCTCTTGCACTGTGAATCACAGATAATTCGGTTTTCAGTGTGTGGCCTTTGACCTCAAGCTGACTCTTCCCAAGTTAGTTTTAAGATGGTCAGAAGCGGGTGATGCATCACATTTCCTCATTTATATCCAATTAGAGAGGGAAAAAAAAAAGAACCACAAATCTTCAAACCACTGTTCTTTTAAGAGTAAAGAACATTTGCCTTTAGCAAATTTAACCCCTTTGGGACAGAGTTGGGCAACTGCCCATTCCTGAATCAGTAAGTAGCAAGGGAGGTTATGAAATCAACCCATGTGTCTGTCAACTTATAGAGAAAACGTAATACATGTGCTCAATAAAATACTATCCAGCTTTTAAAAAATAAATTTTATAATTTGTGACAATACGGATGGAATCAGAGAACATTATGGTGAAGTATAATAAGCCAGGCACAGAAAGATAAATACATGTTTTTACTTATATGTGGAGCCTAAAATAACTGAACTCAGAAAGGAGCAGAGAGTAGAATGGTGAGTACCAGAAACTGGGGTAGGGTAGGGGATGGGGAGATAATCATCCGATGGGGCAAAGTTGCAATCAGACAGAAGGAATACAGGGATTTTTTTTCCTTTGAGATGCATTGACTAATGTAGAGAATACCGTAATTAACATATTGTATGCTTAAAAATTGCTAAGGGTAAATTTCAAATATTCTCATCACAAAATTTGTAAGTGTTTGAGGGAATGGTTATTTTAAGTAGTTTGACTTAATTATTCCACACTGTATTCATAACTCATAACATCATTTTATAACCCATTAATGTATACAATTATCATTTATCAATTTACAATTAAAAATAAAGAAGAAAGCTAGCAGGAGGAAAGGATTTGCTTCAGGCCAATCATCCCACCCCTTGAGTTAAGATCAGTTCGTCCAAAAGGACAGCCACTGGGCTCCCCAGGGCTGAATGGGATGGACTGCCAACGTCTGAACCAGGAAATCCACTACAGTTTCCCTCCTGAGTGCTCCATTTCTCCACTGGGGAGGAAAAAGATATCTTATTGGAATATATTTGAGAACAAGTGTGTGTGGCATTTCAGCTAATTGAAGACCCCGTGGAGATCATCAACACCAAGCTGGAAGTCCAAGCCTTTGAACGCATTGAGGACCACATCAAACTCCTTGGCTTTTTCAAGAGTGAAGACTCAGAATGTAAGTTGTCTGTCAACTCTGCCTGGCAGTATAAGGCTCAGTTCCCAAGGAGCACTGTTAGATGTTTCCAACAGAGGATGGATTTGCACTGTTAGATGTTTCCAACAGAGGATGGATTTTCAGCATCTCATTTGCTGGGATGAATAGAGGTTGGAATTCTTCCTGTACCCAGTGCAATGGGACATATGCAAAACTTGTGAAAAACAGGTCACGGGGCTAAAAAATGTTAAATTTGGACCAGGTGCTCTGCCCTTAAAATGGTGTGTGTGTGTGTGTGTGTGTGTGTGTGTGTGTGTGTGCTGTAGGCAAGAGAAGAGCCTTTCTTCCACTTTCCCACCTGCCCACTTCCATGATGGGGTCTCCTCTAAATGGAACCCACAGTAGGCTGCCTAAATGCATTGCCAGTGCCTGCAGTCACCAGCTGGAGAACTTCTCTCTCAATTGGAAAACATCAAACAGAGGAAAATTTGGATAGGGATAGGCTTAGTAGCTGCTAAGAATGTGGAAAATTGGGCTGAGGATTTAGCTCAGTGGTTCTGCCGCCTGCCTTGCAAGTGCAAGGACCCAAGTTCGATCCCTGGTACCAAAACCAAAACAAAAAAAAGCACGAATGTGGAAAATTGCTGGCTGAGCCCATCGATGACCACCAGACTGCCTGCCATTACCAACCGCACCCTTGGGCATATTTCCTCTGTCAGCTTTGTGGCCCAGTTTGAGGTGGGTACAGACCTACCATAGCATCATCACAGCTGGTACAGGGATGAGACAGGGTGAGTGGACATCAGGAAGAGGAGGAAGAGGGGCAGGAAAGGCAATTACTGGAGTACATTGAAAAAAACCTGCATTGGTAGTGTAGGTCAAGTGAGTTAAGCCTTGTTCTGGTGTGTCAGCCTTGAAGAGAGGGAAAGTGGCCAAAGTGGTGGGCATCACTGTCAGAAAGTCTGATAGCATTGATACAACTAGGAGGTGCAAATATGGGCTGCATGTGACTATTTCTAAAAATCCACAAATATTTTGAAATTATTGGTCAAACTGTTTCTTTACTCCACTAACATCCTTAGTTACTGCATCAACAGCGCACCTGTTTGTGCTCTTTCATGCCCCAGTGCAGTCGTCTTCTCATTGGCTTCATTGAAACCTCCATTCCCAGTGCTCAAATGAGTGTCTTAGGGGCAGGTGCCAGCCAGAGTTTTGCCCCAATTCTGTCTGTACCGACGGATGCTGACTATGCCAGGGAACTTTTGCCCCACTCCCACTTTATCCTCTTCGTATGGAGAATTTCATGCTCACAACAAGTAATTACTGATGTTTTCTATAATGTAATGATGATGAAAGGATACAGCACGAAGTTTGACTAATTCACCAACTATCACACAGCTAGCAAACGGTGGACTCACCACTTAAATTCCAAGACTCTGACTTTAGAGTTCACACATGCAACTATCATGGCACACATGAAATGTTATCACATGTTTATAGGCATAAAGTGAGCCTGAACTGGACGGGAATTGGGCTTAGAGAAATTTTTTTAGTTTATATTATATAATAATAATAGCAAAATACAAAAATAGGAAATATGTCATATATTAAATTGTAAAAATTCTCCAAATAAAACATTTGGAGATTTTGAATGTGAATCTTGACCTTGCTTCCAAGAACACAGCCTTTTGATATTAGGAGTTTTGCAATTCCTGAGCAAGGTTTTAAGTGACAAGCTCTTTAAAATCTTGTTAGTCACCATCAACCACATGTTATATGGGTGGTGGCAAATGAAGAGACAATATTCTTGGGTGGATTGAACCCAGGGCCTCATGCCTGCTAGGGAAGCACTCTGCCACTGAGCTGCATCTCCAGCCCCTCCCTGCTTTATGCTTGGCTGATGAATGTTCTTTTCTTGCCACTGGATATAATTCAGATATAGCTCAATCTCTAAATTATCCTTTAAGTGCATGGATATACCTTAGTTTACCATTATGATTTTGCCTTGATGAATACAATGCTCAGATTTCTTGTGATAATTGGATTGGATTGAAAATCCAATTAAGTATTTTTGTATCTTATTATATTTAAAATAAAATGAAGCTTTTCATTAGAAATATAAACATATATTACTTTACTGGTCTTAATAATCATTCTGAAATTCTGAAATAATAAAATTACTAGAGAGCCACTTGAACTACCATTTTAAATTTGAACTTTCTCCCTTTTCAATTAATAAATCTTGTTGGTATATTATATACTTCACATGGTTCTTTCAGCTGTCAATGAAGTGGATTCAAGTGCTCGGTAAGGCCCAGGATTTTTGGAGGCCAATAATTATCCTTCAAAAGGAGTATAATTCACAGTTTATCTTTCAATCCACTTCTTAGTTGATAAACTCCTCATAAAACTGTCTTTGACTAAGGAAAGGGCTTCTGACCCTGCTTCTTCACTGAAAGGAAAAGTGATTATGTAGGCTTAGATGTTAGAGTCACCTTTTTATAACAACATTTTATGTGGAATTCAGATTCATATGCAAAACTTTATATGGCAGAGCTTTTAATAAATATTTTAATAAATACCAATGGATCTCAGGATTTTCAGAAAGAACTTAATGTAACGTCTTTACACCTTCTTCCCCTTGCAGCCACTCCGCTAGCACACAAACCAGGTAGTTTTTCCACAGTCTATCAGGATGTATTCATCAGCTTCTTTGACGATTTCACCCCCAATAACTTGGTTTGCTTCTTCTTTGTAAGACAAATGAAATTACTTCAAGCATTTCTTCTCAGGGTTTTAACTGGTGCTATTAACCACATCCAGTTACTAAAGTCTGATGTACTAAATCCAGCCTGGAAAACCCTGAGGGATGAGGAAGGGAGGCAAGGAACAGCTAATCTTGGGCACTCTAGGGCAGATGACAGGACCGGGTATCCTGGAAGACAACCGCTGTTAGGGTGAGGCTAAAGGCTCAAACACATTTCGAACTAACAACATGAGAGTCACCTTGCTCCATCCTTCATCTTAAAAGTGATGCAAACTGGACCTCTGGGAGAAGAAGGAGGCTCTGACCCAGGTCTAGGCTGTTCTTCCATCTGGGCAGGGGATCATGGAGGTGACAAAAGATTCATCAGGAGCACCATGACTCTGATGGGGCCCGCTGTGCCTGGATATAGCTCCAGCCATTCCACTTCCTCACCTGCACTCTCCTCATTCTTCAAATGATCTCACCTGTCTTTTTCCCATCTGTCCAGTCCTCTACCCCGACTATCAGGCTACCTGATATTTTTTTCTGACTTTGTATTACTTTTATGGAATAAGTTTGGAGGAGTACATACCAGTAGGTACCAGTGTTCTTATAAATGTTCAGCCCCTCTCTCAAGTTCTTGCTGCTGTCACTGCTTTTAGAGCAACTGTCACACTGCATTGTGACTCTTTTAAGAGCCCACAGCCCTCTCTGGCCTGAAAGCATTTTAAAATCAGTATCTTTTTATGACTCACTTTGAGGCAGCATTATTCTAAAGTAAGTTTTTATGGCATCCTAAAAGGTTCTTCATGATCCTAGAATTCTAGCAAAAGCTTATACTTCTGATGGTTCCTTCAAAAGGAAAAAAAAAAGTTAATCTTAGAATAAATCACAGGCTTGAGGACTCTTAGAATCATAGAATTTATTCAGAATCACCACAGCCATCACCATTACCGTCACCCACACTTCTAAAGTTTGAATATGACTATTTTACCGAGTACAGTACTTGCCTCGATGTAACAAAGTGCAGCATTCCCACACTCAGACAGTTGCATGCCTACCTTGACAGTTTGGACTAAAGTTTGGGACAAGAGGGTCAAGCACAGGCTTGATCAAATTTAAATGATTCCAGAACATCAGGAAGGAAAAAAGAACAAGAAAGAAAACTAGGATTCACCAACAGGGGTACTCATGACAGGAAGGTTAAAATACTTCTGTGATGTCTTTTTTTGGTTGAGGTTCCTTTGCAATGATGAGTTTTCTCATTTAGGCTCGTTTACACAGCAAACTACACTTTCTCTAAATGTTTCATTTGTAAGCAGCAGTAAATGTGAGTACAAGGACTGTCTGTTTTGATGTAGGGTTTCACGTGTCTTTTTTTTCTTCCTTGTATTTTTTCCACTTCCCTTGCTTTCTGCTTTCCAACTGCGTAAGTGTGGTGAAGATCTCTTAAACAATTGAATGCCAATAAATTCGAACTCCTTGGGGGAAGCCATGGGTTTAAATAGTACTAAACAGTTAGCTATCTAAATAATACCTGCCAAATAATTATTCAATCAGGATTAATTGGCTTCCTACTCTCTGTATATCATTTAAAAAGAGAAGTCTGGGGGTGCCTCTTAAAAAAAATGTTTCTTTCATTGTTGTTTTCCTTCTAGATTATAAAGCTTTTGAAGAGGCAGCTGAACACTTCCAGCCTTACATCAAGTTTTTTGCTACCTTTGACAAAGGTGTAAGTACCTATGAAACCTCAATATAAGTACTTTTGTAGGCACAAATGATTAAAGTTTGAACTTTCTACCTCTTGTTCTTTTCTTTTAAGAACATGGACCAGCCTCCTTTGTCTCTTTCTCCAGAAGTGTTACAATGCTAGATGAATGAAAATGATTAAAAGGATATAAGCAGATCTCTAACAATAGCCAAAGAAAAGTGATAGCTCACTTTTATTTTCCCATGCCCCAGGAACAGGAAGCATGTGTGCCCAGAGAATGGTGGTACATGTTCCCTTTTTTTCCTCTTCCTTTCCGGGGTTGCCCCCTTCCCCTGCCTCTGGAGTGGTATGGGAAATTGAATGGAGAGGAACACTGACTCTCTGAAGCCCTGGTGCTTTGGAAAGTTACTTCCAGGAAAAGTTGTTTTATGTATTTTCCTATAATCCAGTAGATCTTCTTATCTGAGTGTGACAAGTGATTTTATAAACCAAAGAGCAGCAGAGACCAAGAGATCTTGAACCAATGGGTAATTTATTTGGAGTCTATGCAGCAGAGTATTCCACTCTAGTTCCTGTGATTACTAACATGGCCACTATTTATTAAGTGTTTTCTGTGTGCTGGGAACACTTTGATATAACGTCAACTCTACATATCTGTGGACTTCCACATCCACTGACTGAATAACCCAAGGGAAGAAAATAACCAAAAACAATTATGTCTGTGCAGAAGACGTTCAAACTTTTTTCTTATCATTATTCCTCAAGGAGGTTAATAACTACTTCTATAACATTTATATCATATTGGGTATTGTGAGTAACACAGAAATGAGTTAAAGCTTATGTAGGAGCTAGATAGCTTATATGTAAATATTACATCATTTTTAATATGGGACTTGAGCATCCTTGGGGCATTCTGGAACCAATCACCTCTGCGAACCGAGGGATGACTTTATTGTGTTTATATTGTCCCCAATCCTGCAAACAGCTTTGAAGGGTAAAAACTCCCACTTCTCATATGAGAAAACAAACTTACAAAGGTTAAATAATATACAAGGTCTCCAGTGAATTAATGGTAGTCCTAAGGCCCCAGTTTTGGACAGTGTATGCCCCAAACCCTGCCTCTGTACTCTGACCTTAGATAGAAGACCCTGTGGCTGCCCTTGAGGGTCAGGTACACAAACACACCCCACAAATAACACGTGCAGCCACATACAACACAAACACACATCACAATACAGATAACACACACACCCCAACTGAAAAATGAAATTATTATATTTGACAGAACACATAAATCTAAGACAAACCAACTCTTTAATCAAATACAAGTAAAACGTCATCAGAAAGTGGCCTCTTGAGGAGCAAGGCAGTTGGTGAGCAGTGCTCATGGCTTTTATGCTGGGGTGGGTTCAGATATTCTGCAAAAATAAGAGGCCAATAGATGTCAGAGCAGGGAAGGGCCCAATGCAAAATCACATTTGAGGGGCTGGGGATTTAGCTCAGTGGCACCTGTGCCTGTCTCATAAGCACAAGATCCTGAGTTTGATCCCCAGTACCCCCCAAAAATCACATTTGATTCATATATTATACTATATATATATATCCATTTCTGTGACTATGATGCCTGTCCTCAGGCTTATAATCCAGAATAAAAGGTCTGTAATCTAAGTAATGGAATATAAACTTTAAGCAAGTTTACTCTGGTCGGATTTTAGAGTTGGGAGAGATTTGAGCAAGAATACCAAAACACTAATAACTATCATTTATTAAGTATTTATGTGCCAGACTCTGTCCTGAGAGCCTATGTAGGTTTTCTCATTCCATCCCTTCAACAAGTTCATGAGAGATGAATTAGGTTCTCATTCCTCAGGTAAAACTGAGGCATTGAGAGATCAAGTGATTTGGTCATGATTGCACAGCAATAGTAAAGCTGGGTGTAGTCTCAGGTTGGTCTAATTTCAAAGTCAATGCTGGGTGCTACCACGCCTCAGAGAAAGAAGCAACATAGATTAAATTCTTATTTGGTGTTTGGCACATAGTAAACATTCAGAAAATATCAGCTAGCTATTAAAACTGTTGTTAATAAGAAAAGACTCATCCAGGCCCAAGACGATGGGCGGTTGGAAGAGGATATTAGAGGAAGAGGAACATAGACGCCTACACTGGATTCATCACTGGCATTTGGTTCTGATGGGCCAGGTGTGGCTGAAGGCTTGCTGGCCTGAAAGGAAGAAAGGCAGGCAAATGAGTTTGGCCAAGCAACAAAGCCTTCATTTTCAGCTGGGTGGTTTGATTCTGAGTGCAGGGTAGCATTTGTTCTCAGAAGTGTCTTTCAGTCCAACAAGATGGTTTCATGTCTGTGGCCTGTGAAGAAGGTGAGGTCAGGCTACAATTACAATCTTTGAAAGCTGCTTTGCTAAAAACTCTGAAAGACACTGAGTCCTAAGTGCCACTGTTCATATAGCCTTGTGGGATTTCATGACATTTAAAAAAGAGACACATTGTCTAAGACTTCATATGGATCACAAAGGCTGCTGCTCTAGGGGCACTCAGATGCCAACTGGGACTTGCATCCACCACGGTGGGAGAGGCGTGCTCAATGGGAGACGGTGAGGTCCAGAAGGCATGGTTGCAGCCTCAGTAACATCCAGCAGAGGGTGCTAGAGCAGAAGAAGGAAAGAGAAAGGAACGTCATGCATGAGGTGCCTGAAAGGACCTGCCTGTACAACACACCTTAGGGAGCCTCAAAGGGACTGGGAGGTGGTTGGTAGAGGTTTGCAAACAGGAGGAAGAAGGGCCAAGGAAGCAGCCACACAGTGACAAAGATAAAGACCCAAATAGTAGAAACTGATGTGACAAGAGGACTTGGTCACTGATGAGACGAAGGAGAAAAAGAAGGTCCCAAAATAAGGTTAAGACTGAAACATCTCAGTTTCAAGTCAGAAAAGCCTGGGAAGCTACTGAAAACATTAAGGAACCTAGAAAGAAGAAACTATTAATATCAGAGAAAGTTATGAGTCCTACATTTTTGCACATTAAGAAAACATCAACTAGAGATGTCTTCCATCCATCCATTTGTTCACTCATTCACTCAACAAGTATTTGCTGAGGGCCTCTAATGTGCCAGGCACTCTTCTAGGTGTCAGGGCACAACCCTGAACAAAACAGGGCCTCAGCTTGTAAAATTTAGAGTTAGTATGGGGGAGAAGATGGAACGAGAGAAAGTAAAGAAGTAAGCAAACCAATAAATACATTGTGAACTGGAGAACTGTAAAAAGGGTGAGGGGTCAAAGCTGCTGATGTAGATTTAGAAGTCAGTAATTGCCAACCGCTGTCAATATTGGTATCCTCAAAGAGCTTTTAAGAGCATTGATCTGTGGGTTCAGTCCTAGAAATTTTTTTCAGGGTTCTGATAAAGTCTAAAAAACTCCATTTTCAAAAATCTCCCAGGAAATGTCATAGGATGGACAGATTTGGGACCTAATCTACTGATCCTGATCCTAAATCGGGCCACAGGAAGACTCAATCCCTCTGAGAAACAGCCGGGACAAGAGAGGGTTGGGGCAGAGGATGGCACCCACTCTGCCACACCTGGCAGCCTGAAAAATGCCAGTGCTAATGATCTCACATCACTTCTCACTGGCCTGCTCCTTTCTCTGTCTGGGATCAATGAAATGAAAGATTATTGTCTCTCTTTCATCACACTGTGGCCCAAAGGGAGCTGTGATAAGCTAAGAAAAGATGAAGAGTAAAGTCTAGAAGGCCCAGTTCATTTTGAGTTGCTTTTCACTGGTAACATCTGAACTGGCTTGCCAACTTGTAGAAAAACCACCTGTATCAAATTCATGCATATGCAAATATTAAGAAAAGAACCATTGTACTTGTAGCTTTCTTATCTTTGCCCAAATCTATTCTAACTAGTTAAAGAACAAGAAAGCATGGACAAACTCATTTTTATGAGCCTATCCGCTTTTAATAGTATAATGCATTCTTATTTAATCTCAATGTCCATGAATCACAACTGTTCCTAGAACAGTGCCTTACATACAGGAGGACCAGTAGGTACTTATCGATGAAATGAATAAGTGCTCCAGACAGTCAAATCTCCTGCAGTCTTTATCATCCAACATACAGTTACAAGAATGCAAGAAAGGCATCCTCTGAGGCACAGGTGAGGGCATTCCAGGAGGGCAGTGGGAAGAAAGTGAACTCTGGACAAGTTTCCCAAGACTTAAATTTGAGGATGTGACAATCCAATTTTCCATTTATAGACTTAACACCCAGACCCAGACACTGGCATTCAGGGACCAGAGAACACCACCACCACCACCATACACATATGCGCGCGCGCACACACACACACACACGTGTGTGCATGCACATGCATGCACAGGCATGCCAGTGCTACTTGCCTTGATAGTAGTTCTGATCAGCTCTCTCTCACCTTCAGGAGGTTTTAATTATAGCAGATTAATTGATGAGAGCAAATGACAAGAAGAACAAGGAAACATCGCCCTAAACCATGCACCTCAGGTCACAGGGACGTGCATAAGGAGAAGGTAATTTTCAAATCAAAAGGACATGGGATACAGACAAACTGGAGGTTTGGAATGCTTCCCTGACTACTGGCCATGCCCCTCCAGATATATGATCTAGAGGAACTGCTTGCCCCAATGGGAGCCTCGGGCTTCACATTTGTAAGATAAATATAATAACAGTTCTTACTTCATACAGCCCAAATGAGAATTCAAAAATCTACGCGAAACACTTCGAAATAGTAAGGACTCCATGTATTAGCTATCATTGCTATTTTTGTTCATTTAATCACTTCCCATTTTGTAGCAGCACATGTTACTGGTTCCTAGAAGAGTAAATGAACTCAAAAAGACCAGAGGCCATTGTCATTTTCAAGCCTACTCTCCTTAGACTCAGTTTGGGGAAGACTTATGTGCAAACCTAGATGCCTGTGTGTTTGCTCCCCCCGCCGGCCCCCCCATCTTCCTGCCTCACCACCCCATACTCCCCAAAGCATCTTTCTGAGAAAAGGGGAGAAGCAGTAAGAAAAACCCCACACTTCCCTCTCTTAAAACAAAATCAGCATGACAGTAAAGTCTCCTTTAACTGACTGCAGCTCTTCACAGGACCTATTTTCTTTCTCTCTGAGCAGGATGCTGGATTTTCTTTCTCCTAAGGACTGTAAGAAATGTCTTTTGGAATATAGTGACCTGGAATTAATAGCAATTGATGACAAAAGCCATCTGGACATAAGTGTTTCCTCAGAATGGACTTCGTTGTGTAAGATCTTATGTAACACCCAGGTCCTCCCCCTCCTCAATTAGTCACAGCCCCTGGGTCACCGGATTGCTGCACTGTACTTACCACAACAGAGCCTCAGCTCCTAGGCAATGCCTCTGCCATTTCAAGGGAACCACAGTTCATCCCTGTGTTTCCTTGGACCACAGCTCTGAGCAAGAGAAGAATGGCATCTGGTTTTCTATTGAGCTCTGCACATTCCAGGCCTCTCAAATCATGTCACAAAAGGAGGTCCTGAGTTCAGTGGCTTTGCAGGGGAACACAGCAACCATTCTGCCTTGACAACAGACTGACATGTGGCCACTTTAATCAAGAGAGAAAAAGCCTTCCAGGCTGTACGCTGGTTTCCCAGGGATTTGTATCTATTGTGCTGTGAGCCACCCATCCTGGCTCACTGGGGACTAACCAGATTTTAACACTGCAAGTTCCAGATCCCAGGAAACACCTCTGCCATGAGCAAAGCAGGGTAGTTGGTCACCCTGTGGTTGTTAACAAGTTGGGCAATTCCCAGAACCTGACAAACCACCAAGCAAGCCTGGAACTGACAGCTTGAATCTCAGGGCCTACACTTTATCCTAAACAGCAATTAGGATTTATGAGTTGATCAAGTGTAGATTAATGCATTGACTTCCAATTCTGTGTACTTGTATGCTTTAAGGGTTACCACCAATAGCTTGTTCCATCAAAATAGTTCAATTAAATCCACACAACATGTTCCACTGGCATTCACTTCCTCCTCCAGCCCCGGAAAATACAGTAGAGTGATGATGAGGGTAGAATGATACCCCTCACTTTTCATTTCAGCTGTTCCCTGCCCCTACTTGTCCATCATTTGTCAGATAAGTCTTCTATTTTTCTCTGCCTCTCTCTCTCTCTCTCTCCCCCTCCCTCCCTCTCTCCCTCTCCCTCCCTCTCTCTCTCTCTCTCTCCCTCCCTCTCTTATTTCTTTGATCACAGAAAGAGATTGGCCCAACCCAGGTGATGAATTCTTGTTACTTTAACAGTGAAACTATCCATATACTTTGCGCCATTGCTAGAGAGCACACACACCTCTGGTGGATGTACAATGCATTACTACTCTAGACTAGCACTCAAATAGCTATTGTCTCATTTCTGTTTTAGGTTGCAAAGAAATTGTCCTTGAAGATGAACGAGGTTGACTTCTATGAGCCATTTATGAATGAGCCCATTGCCATCCCCAACAAACCTTACACAGAACAGGAGCTCGTGGAGTTTGTGAAAGAACACCAAAGGTGCCTGAGATGGCATGTGGGGAAGGGAGTCTGGGGCCTGGCGAATGGGGAATAGTCTCTTGGTCTGATAATTCAGATCCACCAAAAGCAACAACCTAAAGTACCCCAGGCAGAATATTGGTCATTGATAAATGGCAGGTATATTGCTACTTATGAACATGAGTCTACTCTTGCAAATAGGGTTAGACTACCTCTGCTCAGTCAGCAAATCTCCTTAAAGCCAGACTGAGATTTAAGTAAAATTCTACACTAGTAATGATAGCAATTTAGTGGAAAGCTCCCTCCTGTATGTCAAGCACCATGCTGGGTGCTTAATGGGAGCTACTTTATTTCATCTCCAATCTTATGGGGGCAATATTATTCAAATTTTATAGATCAAGGAATATGACTCAGAATAGTTAAATAACTTAGCCAAAGAGGAACATCTATACATATAACTTCTAGGAGAGAAATATTTGATATGATTCAGTAGCTTTAGCAAAGCTTTTTCCTTTGAAGGACCAAAGAGTAAATATTTCAGTTTCTAAGGGCCAGATGCCTTCTTCTGCATTTGCTCAACTCTGCCCTTATAGCACAGAAGTGGCCATAGCCTTTGTGTAAACAAATGGGTGTGGCTGTGTCCCAACCAAAGTTTATTTATAACAACAAAACATTGGCTGGATTTGGCCCACCAGCTGTAATCTGCTGATATGTTCTTAGGGAACAAATGTGGAAACATGTACCGCAGTAGAGAGCTCACTGCCTTCCCCACCATCCCTATGTGCAAGTGTGGTCAATGAACCTAGCACAACATGGTCCCTACTCACAGACAGTGCTGGTCCCTATAGGGAGGCAGTACATGAGGAAACAGTTACTAATATGTCTCACCTGTTGGAGATGGAGCTGAGTGGCAAAACACTTACCTAGCTTGTGCAAGGCCCTAGGTTCCATGCCAAGTACCATAAACAAAAGAAACCAAAGAGTCTCACGCTGTTTGCCAATATTCAGAAATACATGAAACTAGGAGCAAAATATGGGTCTGACTTGCCCCCACCCTTAGATTCCTAAGGGACTTTTGATGGATAACCCACCTAATAAAACAATGGCTGCTCTGGTCTGGAACAACAGATTTCCTGCTATCTTCCTCCAGTTTGCTCCTTCAGGACCTGCTCTGGGCTCTCGGGAATGGTGCCTGTTTGTGAAGAGAGAAATGCTCTTTGCCCTAGGAATGAACCAGCCCTGAACCTCTGACCCATTGTTTGTAATGGATTTGATCTGTCCAGGATCAAATGAGTCTAGGGACAGGTTTGGTGATTGGGGCTTAGATCTCTCTCGATGCAGCAGAGTAGAGTGGAGTAGCTCTACTCCCTTAGTGCAGAAGTGGGTTTGGGGGCTCTTAATGCTCTTCCAAGTGAACCAACAGCTTGTTGACCTTTCCCAGGGCTGAGGCTCAGTCTCTGCCACTGGTGAGCCTTACTCAAGGAAGCTCTTCCTTTTTTTCAGACCCACTCTCCGTCGCCTGCGGCCAGAAGACATGTTTGAAACATGGGTAAGACAGCGGTGAATTCTTTCTTCCTCAGAGGGATGAGCATACCCTCAAGAGGAATGCCCTTTACATTAAGTTCCAAGTGTCAGACTAAGTTTCATTTGGCTGGGCTTGATGTCTACGTGGTGGAGTATGAGCAGCTTGCTCATTTAAATTCAGTTCTCCATAGATCCAGTTTAAGCCTGTTTGGTACTACTACTCCCTGTTCATTTCCTTGGTAACTTCTAGCTTCTGTTCACAGGCCACCAGAGATCTAGCTTGACATGCTGGAAGGAGCTCAGGCTACAAATTCATAGTTCAGGGTACAAAGTCATGGAGTCTAGAATTTGCCACCTAGTAACTTTGTGACCTACATCAAGTCATATAGTCTTTCTGAGCTTTAGTTTCCTCATCTAAAATCAGGACTTTTTGTTTGTTTGCTTGTTTTTTATTAAATTCTTTTATTGGTACATTGTAGGTGTACAACACAATTACATTTCTCACTGGGAATTGTACCTTTACATGATGCATCTTGGTTCTTATTTTATCCCCATTCCTAGCCCTCCCTTCACCCCTCCACCCTTCCCTATTTACAAAGACTTTATTTCCATTGTTTCCATTTCTCAGCATTTTTCCTTTCCCTTCTTTCCTTTCCCCTGCCCCTCCCACTACCCCTACCCCTTTGGACCTTTTCTTCCTATTTTGCATTACCGACTATCCATTCTAATCATTGGTACATTTTAGGTATACAATATAATGACATTCATCATTGGAAATTTGCCCCTTTGCATAGTCTCTCTTGGTTCTTATAAAACCAGGACTTTTTGTAAGGATAAATGAGACGAAGAGTTCAGAATGTGATAGGTTCTGCATGGTAGTTCTTTTTAGAAAAAAAATGTCACCTGAAGGCACTGGAAAGCAATCAAGATGGCTTATGCTGCAGGTGCGTGTCACAGATAATGTGCCAAGTGGCTCAGACAGTATTAGCAAAGGTCCCTTGGAGACACACCTTCCACCCCCCCTTAGATTTATACAGAATTCCATAAACAATAATAACCGGTCACTGGAGCATCTTCTTTCCAAGCAATTTCGTGGATCCTTTTGCATGGAACTGATGATAGCTCTACACAGTGATGAAGAAACAAGTATCATTTTAGCCCATTTTACATAAGGAGAAACTAATGACCATGCAGATTATTACTCAAGGACATAGAATGATACCTGTTAGTTCTTAGGGCTTAGATTAAGGCCACCTGGCTTAGATTAAGTCAAATCTCATGCTCTGACCCATGTGTTTCCCTCAAGTGACCATGTCCTCACAGAGGGTCATTTCGGTCAGTGGTAGGGGAGAAAGGGATAGACATGGAAGCATTTCTTTACGAAATTCTTTAAATCATAATCTGAAGTGATGGCTGAAGAGCACCAGGGAGTAACTTGACACTGTTTTGCTGGTACATAACTTATTTGGATTTCTGAAGGAGAGCAAACATTTCACAAGACTCTGAAGGACAAATAATGAGTCTAAGGGTGGATGTTATTTAAGAACAACCAGCACAATAGAAACCTATTTTCCTAACATTTAAGCCTTTCAAAAAATTAACCTTTAAAAGGTCTTGTTACAAAAAAAAAAAATAACAAAAAATAAATAAAAGGTCTTGTTACTAAATTTAAATATTAATAACAAAAGGGTACAACAGTACTTTAACATATTTCTTTTTTAAATTGTTTTTACTTTTTGCTCTAAAATAACTTTGGACTTACAAAGATAGTGTGAAGAACTGCATTATTTCTTCACACAGATTCCCCAAATGTTAACATTTTATTACCTTGACTTCCCTTCTCCCATACATATTTTTTCAGCACTATGTCAAGGTGAATAGCAGACATAATTTCTCTTTATTCCTAAATACTGCATGTTTTCCACAACAAGAGCTTTCTCTCATAGCCACAGTACTACAATCAAAATCAAGAAATTTACACTAATATACCTCAACTCTAATCTACAGACCTTACTCACATTTTATTACTCACAGTTATCCCACTAATGTCCTCTATTGCAAGAGAAAACCTTTTTTTCCTTGGCCCACCATCCAATTCAGGATCTCACACTGCATTTGGTTTTTGGTTTTTGTTTTTTGTTTTTTTTTAGTTTCCTTTAATCTTGAACAAGTTTTGGTCTTTTGTTCTTCTATGACAGAAAATGCAATTTTAAAGAGAGCAACTATTGCTGTTTTGTTTTGCCATGTCTGTTTCTCTCTTCCTTCTTTCCTTTTCTTTCTTTTTCTCTTTCCTTCCTTCCTTGCTTGCTTTTTTTCCTTTTCCCTAAGAGATAATTAACTGTTATCTCCGAGCAGGGAGAGAACACACATGTGTAGGACCCTCCTTCTCTCGGACTTTCCCTACAGACATCCCAGTGTCACCCGATGACCGTGACCATGACCTCTGTGGCTGGAGAGTCCATGTGTTCAGAACACTCCCCAGGCCCACTGCAGAAATCCTCTCCTCACCTCAGAGGCAGATGGTGGGAGGGATCTTGCTGTCTTCCTTCACTCTTTGTTTTCTTTTCATTTAATAAGCTAAATTACAGCCTTTTGCTATAATATAAAATAATAGTGATGGCTCATATTTTCACATTATTATGTACTCATTTGTTTTCTAACTGGGAAAAGCAGCGCATTAAGTTTAGCCAAGTAGAGAGGAAGACAATGGGAATGTTTGCTTACCAGCACCCCACTTTGCACTGGCTATCTGACTTCCCAGAAGCCCTAACCAGAGCACACCAGGCCCTCATCCACATCTCTAAGTAGGGAGGAAGGCCAGGGAGGCTCCTCCAGGGCCACTATTGTATCCTTAAAAAGAAGAAGCAGAGGTCAGAGGGATTCCTGAGGAACCATTCCCTTGTTCCCCTTCCTGTCTACCTAGGCCCACTTTGGAGGGCACTGCCCAAAAGCATTGGCTGCAGGAACTTAAACCACAGATTTGTGGAAAGTGACCAATTAATGGACTTAAAAGTCTTTATCTTCAACATTTGCTTTTTCAGACACTGCAAAATATTTAAATAAGATAGGAAAGCTAGCTGGGCTAAAGCAACTATTTACCTTTTTTCTCTCCCCTAACTGTACAGACTTTTAAAGTAGCAGATCATATGAAAACACATCACATATTACTACTAAAAAAATTGGTGCCTAGCCGGGGATTTAGCTCAGTGGTTTCGCCGCTTGCTGCGCAAGCACAAGGACCCGAGTTTGATCCCCAGTACCAACCAAAAAAAAAAAAATTGGTGCCTAGCAATATTCGCTGTTGGTAAATTCTAGAGTGTGTATGTATATATGTATGTATGTATGCATTTATAATTTTCAAAGAATATCAAGGTGAGACAGGGTGCTCTAGTGCGGGTATGTCATACTCCTCTAGGGCACTCCATTGCACCATAGTTAGGGAGCCTGGCAGTTGGAACTCATTTTTTTTCTTTGTGTCTCTTCATTCAACACAAGAACATTTAATAGAGATGAAAACAATAGAGCAAAATATTGACAATCATAACATCCGGTTGGTAAATAATTGATGATATTAGGTTTTCTTGTCGCTCGTATATATTTTCTAATTGTCTCCAATGATGAGCATGTAAGACTTTTATAGCCACACTCTTCTTTTCAGCCAACAGACATTAATAAGAACCCATTACATTGTGTTATCAAAGTGAACATTGCTGACTTGTTGTTAGGATCCCATGACTGAGCAGATGAAGCAGTCTCAAAACATAACAGCTCCTGTTATGCACAGCACTGTGACAGAGTGGCATATGAAGGATGGTGAATCCAGAGGAGGGTATTCACCAAAGTAACCCCCAAATCTTCAGGTCTTTTGGGGATCTAGTGCATGTTCAATTTATATACAGGCCAATTTTTAGTCTCTTTCAATTTAAGAGCTCCCGATCCAAGTTTACATTTTCTAAGAATCCTGCCAAGGGACGATCAGTTCCAGATGCTACTGTCTACGTGTCTGTAGCTCCCCAAAATTCCTAATTTGAAATGCTAGCATTCAAATACTGGGGATCCCTGAAACATTACCAGAAATCTCTGCAGTAGGTTCCAGTCTTCCGATCAGTGTACAATGCAGGCCCAAGGAAAAAAAATAACTAAAAGACAGAACTAAGAGACACAGAAAGAGGGATACCAGGATAAGCAATGTCAGTGCAACCGACAAAGGCCCTGGCCAGTCCAAGCCACTGATTTTTATTGGTAATCAATTGGGGTAAAGGTGAGCTATGTGCAAGGGCAGAACTATGTTCCTATGTTCGAGGATGTGCAGTTGTGCAGTTTCTATGGAAATTAATGTAAACAAGGCTCATAAAAGACAAGACAAAGCATTCTCAAATTAGGGACAGAATAGACAAAATACATGGCTGTAATTAGAACGTTGTCCTTCTAGTCAGAAGGTGTTTAGTTGTGGGAATGGAATTTGGGTGCGAGTTACTCTGACCTCAGCACATGGGCTTTGGCCAGACTCATTTCTCAAATCAAGCCAATTTTGGGTTTAACTCTTCACAGCTTTCACTTTTACAGCCTGCTTTGAGCATAATCAATATTTCGATTCGCTGCACTCAAGTTGTCTTATTAGGAGGTGGGGACTTTGAGGGGCCCTCAGGTCATGAGGGCAGAGCCCTGATGATTGGGATTAGTACCCTTATAAGAGAAGCTCCAAAGAGCCAGCCAGTTCCTTTGACCTGTGAGAACACAGCAAGAAGGTACCATGTATGGAGCACAAAGCAGCTGCAAGCCTTTATCTAACACTAAATCTACCAGTGCCTTCAGCTTGGACTTGCTGGGGACTACAAGTGGGAGAGACAAACCTCATCAGTCTCTTTTGCTTATAAGCTGCCCAATTTATGGTATTTGTTATGGCAGCCAGAGTGGACCAAGACATTGGGCTTTGGGGCCAGACAGAGGTGGCTTGAATCTCACTTATGTCACTATTAGTTCTGTGGGCTTAGGTAAATCATTCTGACTCTTTAAGATTTAAATGTGACTTTCACTGAGATTTAGAAAGGAGACATTTTCAAAGTACTTAGACAAAAAGGCAAATGGCAGATATTGTTACCATGTTAATCATCATTGTTATTTGAAGGCATAATCCCTTCTCTCAGAGCTTGATGTCTACTTGATGAGGGAAGATTCATGAGATTAAAAAGACAATTTTAAGGCAATGTGAGCTAAAGCCAAAATGGGTGATCTGGGTAGCAAAAGCATCAGGGATCAGAGAAGGCTCTTGCTTGACCCTGGGCTGGCTAGGTCCTGTGGTCAGCTGCCTCCTCCTTGTCAATTACACTGGGTTCTCACCATATAGCCCCACTCAGGGTTTGCCACCCATGGACTCTTGCTCTGTGGGTTTATTACTTAAAATACCTGGTAACTAGCATGCACCAGCTCCTTCACAGGTGTTCAATACAGGTTCGTGCGCTGAATCTGTGAGACACACACAGAGAGGGCTCGGTCCCTTGGTTACGGCTCTCCATCCAGGGACTGTGTCGGCCTGGGGAATGACAAGCATATTATAAGCAGCCTCTTAGAAAACGAATATGGATTCTTAATCCTAAAACCAATTTCCAAGCGCGTTCTAGAAGGGCGCCCAGAAATGAGGCCCGCTTCACAGAGTTAACAGGGCTCACTTCCAACTGATGGCAGGTGACAGAGACACAGGGCTGCCTAATGAGAACTGATCGGGATATTCTGTCTGGCGATAATAGCAAATGTAAAACAGTGAAACCTCAGGCTCCCCTTCTGGTAGCTGTCGGATTTGTGTAATAAACTGGCGCGTACACATATATATATCTGTAAATTTCAATTCCCCTGAGAATCTGACCGAGGCAGCTTTCTCTCTCCTGCTCTTAATAATAATATTTTCTATTTAATCTCTTATAGAATTTCTCGAAGTTTTATCCATTTCAAAAGCAAAGAAAAAAATTAGCATTTAGATAGCATTGCACCAGCATTAAAATCAATTGAAATAGAAACTGAGATCAGAGGAGGGTTGAGACTCTTGCAGATTTTTTTCCCCTATAGAATGATTCTGACATTCAAGGTGCCCAATAAACACCTCACCGTGTCCCCCATAATCAGTATTCACTTGGCCCTGCCCTGAGCATCCATCTCACACATATTCCTGTTCACATCCTGAGGATCACATTTCTTGTCAGAGAGGCCCCTCTGAACTCCTGCTCTTCCTTCTCCAGGAATAATGAATGTCCAGAAGACACAGGCAGGTGGTCGTTTCTGTCCAAGACGTGGATACACAACGTGCCCCTCGCTTGCCTTATAATTTGAAATACTCGCTCCACTTTCTTTTCCTTGCCCCGCCTCACAGCCACACCCACCATTCTCAGTAGTCCACGGGCCTAAATTCCAGAGTCTCTCTTCCCCTACTCAGGGAAATGCTGATACTGATTTAGCAAGCTTTGGGTTCAGAGCAGAAAGGACTGCAAGGAAACCACCTGGAGCTCACAGTCGCAGAGGGGCCCTCTGATTACTGCATGGGTCTCACTGCCTCGATCAGAGGTGTTGTGGGGTCAAGACTTGTGCATGATTATTGTGTGGACAACAATAGCCACATCCTAATTGACCTGGAGGAGTCCTGTCTGCTGCCTGTCTGGGCATAACTTCGGGATCTGTCAGCAGCTCTCCAAAGTTTCCAGCATCTGGCCCATCGCTGATTATCTCTCCTGTACCAGAGCAACATCACTGAGTGGCCTCTGGAGAGCTGGTTGCCCTTGGAGCTCTGATAAACCAGAGTCAAATTCTTCCTCATTTTGCCTTATGCTACTGCTCTTCTAGACCCACGAGACCACAGGAGAGAGACCCACCGAGTGCTATGATCTTGTGCATAGTTGCTGTTTTCCTGTCTTGTAAACTCATGTATTTGAATCCCCGATCAAAATTCCATGCATCCCTGCAATCTGGTTATCAGTGTTCCCTCCCTTAACGTGTACCCTGCCTGTTCCTCTCTGCCCCCGTCATCCCCTGGGCCCCAACATTTCCATCCCCACCTCCAGTACCTTCCTTTCTATCTCTCCACCTGAGATCGTACTTCTTTTCTCCTACAGGAAGATGATTTGAATGGGATCCACATTGTGGCCTTTGCAGAGCGGAGTGACCCAGGTAGGAACCCCAATCTGTGTGGTGAGGCAGGCAGGCGGCAGAACCACTGAGCCAAATCCCCAGCCCTGTGTGGCCTTAGCAAGAGCAGACTTCCGGCCTCCGTCAGCTCTTGCCTTCTCTTCCCTCCCCTCCCATCCACAATGGGGCCACAAGATATCAGACACCCTCTGGTGGTCGCCGGTTCAGCACCGAGTCTGTCCGCAACTGTGCACACCCAGGGAAGAGCAGGTGTGGACAGATGGGAACATCTAATATTCTACTTAGAGGCTCAAACTGAGAAGCGGCATTGGGCACTGAGAAGGGTAACCAAAAACCCCATCCTTACAAGGCATGTGTGTATGTGTGTGTGTGTTTCTGTTCACGTTCAATATTTATTTTCCACTTTTGTGACCGAGCCTATACAAATCACTATCCTGTATTAACCTAATAATAAAGGTGTCCTTGAACAGTATAAAACTATTTCCTTTAATAATAAGGAAAATGAGAAAAACAAGCCATTTATTTTAAGAAGTGCAAAATGACCCTATAAATGGATGAGTAACTTTGTTTTGTTTTTGCAATTTGAACAACTTTTCCCTGGCTTCCCTCTTTCAAAACCTATAGAGAGAAAAGTGCAGAAAAGTTAATTGAACAGGGGTTCAGCGTCCCCGTGGTGATGTCCAGTGAGATATAGAGGCCCCAAAGTGCAAATGAGCGTTCCGAGATGTCTGTGGGGAGATTTGTGATGATCCAGAATCCACCAGGGAAGGTGAGGAATTTCAGTGGCACTGGCTTAGCTGCCACACCTTGGACACGAGATGCTTTTGTGGACACCAAAACCTGACAGTGTCCAGACTGCAACCACCAAGGCCACCTGGACTGCAGGGAGCACCGTCATGAGTGCATGATTTTATGGGGCTCTGAGCCAGCTGAGATGTGCCACCAGGCCAGGGAGGCACTGTGCAGGGTAATGTGGGACTGTATGGTGTTTGTCAGGGACCTGAGCCTCCTTCTCCATAGATGTGTCTAGTCTGGACATTTGATATAAACAGAATCATGTAATATGAGATCTTTTGTATCTGATATCTTTTACTTAGCATGCTGGTTTAAGGTGTATCCTTTTAAGGTCTATCCATGGCATGCTGAAGTATTTCAGTACTTTTTAGGGCTGAATGATATTCCATTGTACCAAAACCAAATTTATGCTCCAAGTTATCTGAGAGTTTCCTCCATTTATTTTATTTATTTTATTTTATTTTATTTATTTTATTAAATTGTTTAATATCCACTGAAGTGCCAGATTTCCCATCATAGACTTGCAGAGTTGGAAAGCCTCAAGGAGATCTAGGCCTTCAGAAAAAAAGTAGGCAGTGTAATTTCAGCTTCTTTTCCCAGGCTCTGGTTGCCCCCTCTGCCTCTGGGGAGAAAATAGCAAAGAAACTCAATTGCCTAAGGTTTACAAGCTACAATCAAAGAGAATTGGATCCCTGGTATTGTGTGAACACCAATGAGGCTGCCACCGACAGCCGCCTGCTGCCCGTCTCCAGGGGGCTTCCACCCGCCTCCCCCATCCCACCCTCCATTCCAGGATTGCAGGGAGGCCTGTCTGGCCCTCCAGAACAATAGAACAAAGGCCTCCCTGAAGTTGCCGAAACCTGTTTGACAGAGATTGCTGGTGGAATGAATCAAGCTCCTGAAACTGCTTCCACCTCCTCCCTACACAAATATCCCTGGGCCTGAAGCGCTGCCTTTCCCAGGGTCCAAGCTGAGGCTTGTCACGGGGAAGCTCAAGCGATCAATGCACTGGGGGTAGGCGTGGGGGCGCCCCCAAACCATGGTCTTTCTGCAGCGGGCTCAGGAGCTTGCCACTCAGGTTGGGAAAAGGAGGGGCTTTTCTGAAAAGATCCCAGGGTTGGTGCCGTCCCTGTAGTTAGTGATTTACCTGCAGGCACTGATGTGTAACCGGGGACAGAGGCCTGGCTACAAGTCTAGGAATTTCACTCCTGCACAGGCAGTTCCTGGGATTCCTTTGCTCTTGCTAACAAGTTATTCTCTATTGCCTAATCAGACCACTACCCACCTACCAAAGAGGAAAGTTATACATCCAGGAACACTTACAGCTCTGAAACAGAAAGCAGTAGAGAGGAGATGTGTCCAGGGCTTTCTGTAGATGATCCCCTTCAGTCCCAAAGCCACTCTGTGATATGTGTGTCATCACAGGAGGAGAGTCTTAGAGGCTAAATAACTTGCCCACTCCACTCTCAGTATCTCAGCCAAGAGTTACATTCCAGCAGGCTCACTTGACTTCTAAATGCCTCTGAGTATGATGAAGCTGGTGGCGATTAGTCACTTACAGTATGCTTATCCGACATAACAATCCCAGGAGGGAGGTTCTATTTTTATTCCCATTTTACTGCCGAGGCTGAGGAAAAAGTGGAATTAAGCTGAGGGTTGTCTGGCTTCCCAGGCCTCACCCTCAACCACAAGGCCCCCTGCAGGCTAATTTACACCTTGACTTTCACCACCTTGACTTTCACCTCTACCTCCAACATTCTCAAGACGAGAGAAGGAAAAGTCAGGCTACTTCAAGGACATGCTCAGGATCATAGGGTTATAGGCACAGCAGAAATGTGAGTTTAGATTTCCTGAGGGCTCCTTCTGGTCGCCACCCACCCTCTCACACACCTCCCCCGCTAGCGGCAGGTTCTGATCATGCCCAGTGCTGGTGCCGTGGAAGGGGCAGAGTGGAAGGGCAGCTAGAACCAGGAGAGTGTGCATGGAAGTGAGAAGACATCAGAGCCGCCTAGAAGCTTGGGTGTCCAGTTAGTGAAGACAGTTAGTGAAGACAAGTCCGACTTCCTCCCGCTTTCCACTGTTGCTGTCAGATTTGGAATCTGACGTTCTGAAGCAGCAATACACACCTATCCCAGTGACCTGGGTCCCCAGGGACTCCTGGTGCAATCTCAGGCTTCACAGCCAGAGTTTGTGTTCGACTTTGCAGAAAGCTGAGGATGTCAGTGCTCAGGGAGAAGGCAGTCTCTGCTTCCTGGCCCTGGAGCCTATCTCTAGGTTTCTCTCACTGTAAGGTCCAGTTACAGGGCCACAGGCAGGCTGACTGGGAAGCTGTCTCCTGGGCTCTCTCCTCCTGCCAGTTGCCTGCTGCAGCCCATCTTCCCCTGCAGGGAGCTTCTTTCCAGCTGCTGGGCTCAGAGCACCAGCCAGAGTGCTTGTTTGACAGGTTTGAAAATGAACGACTCTCTTCCCTGCCACCCCCAGATGTGTCTGCATCAGGCTGACATCTTCTTTATAACACTTGATGAAAGGTTTGCAAAGCAGCATTTCTACATGAGTGCGTGCTGGATGGATATCCTCCAAGGGCACTGGGAATATCAGCGTTAACAAGCTGGAGATGCAAGGACAGGCTGCTGTCTGCGAGCAGTGGAACAGAATTAGTGACGGGCCCTGGAAAGAATTCTCCAAGCCCTGTTGCACCTGACCTTCCACAGGCCTTGCATTCTTGTAAAAATGGTTTTGAGACCGATTGTTAAATTTTGCTTAGCAAGCTCAATATTGAGTCTTACTAGGTGCTAAACATTGTGCCAAGCGCCTTACAAATATCAATGCATTTAATCTTCACACCAACCCTATGGGGAGGGACTGTTAAGGTCATGTTCCCAGTGTGCAGGTGGGGAAAAAAGGGTACAGAGATGTTAAATAATCCCCAGCTCTAACGGCTAATTGCGGCAGGACGGGGATTCAAACCCAGCATTCTAGCCCCAACTCTGTGGTTTATAACTACCACCTTATGCTTCTTTCAACATGAAAATGATTCATTTGACTTTTTCACCAATACTGGGATCCAAGAACCAGGAGAAGACAGCAGAAAAGAAAAGGTTAGGTAAACAGCGAGATATTCCTACATCTCAGATGCCAGCGCCAAGCATGGGGACCACATAATGTCCTGCTCCGAGTAGTTGTCTCACTGTCAGATGGCCTCTTAGAGATTCTGTCCCGTCAAGGAGAGCTCCTGGCCTTTTCTGCCTTCCTGAGGCTTCCCACAAGGCCAAAGTTCAGACAGTTCTGCTTTTGGAGAGTATCACACTTAAGGAAGAGACTCTGGCCTGAGAACCATGACCCTAACCCTAATTCTAACCTGCAAGAGAGGACCCAAAGGTGTCACCTGCCTTATATGCTTTTGTGTCTTGCCGCCTATCCTGGGCCTGAAACATTGTGGGTACTGAAAATATACCTACCTGAGGAAAAAAATGAACTTTTTCCATCAATGAAGGATGAAAGTAGTAGGACAAAAAAAACCCTTAAAAATTAGTGAAAAGTTGATAGGGGATGAGGGAGGAAAAGGAAAAAAACAAAAAGAAATTATAGACCTTTCTGCACAAGTCCCACTTTCTTCCCATGTTGATACTAGTGTCTCCTTATTGTCAGGAAACCCAGGACAGGAACAGGTAGTTGTTTTCTGCATTTTCAGAGGAGGAAATGGAGGTGTTAGAGGGGTTGAAGGACCTGCACGAAGTCTCCAAACTCCAGACCCGATGTCTTCTCCAGACATAACCTCCGAGCTTCGTGATGTAGGGTTTCCGTATCACATGGGTGGTGGTGGGACCACGTGCTGGGGTGGTGGCTGCCCCAAGCCTAGGCCTCTGTTTCCAGGCAGAGACCCTGAGCACCATCATTTCCCGTGATGTGCAGTCAGGGAGACTCCTTCTAGTGCCTTGATGGCCTGGGATCAGCATGGGCAGCAAGGGCAGAGTGGGCCTGTTCACTCCGGGGCCATGGCTTGGTCCTGGACACATGCGCCTCTGCCACATGGGCCTTCGTCCCCAACATGGCTGTGCCTGGCCGAGAGCTGATCCCCCAGGACTCAGTGTTCCCACCAATCCCTGCCAGGGAAGCAGGAAAGGATAATCACCAGTTTTGCTTCCCACAAAGATATGATTCCCAGAGGCCACTCAACTTGCTGTGAGAAATCTTCTGGCCCAACATGCATCCCTCGGCACTCTCCC